GAATAGTATAAGCCCAATGACCCATATTGAATCTGAGCCAATCTGATGACTGAGAGTATTTTAATTTTAATTTTTTTTCTACAAATCCAAATCACTTGAAATTTTAGATAAATATTATTCTCATCAAGCCGCACCTAATAAAAACATAAAAAAAATAATCTGTAAAATTAAAAATGATCAAAATACCCTTGGAAATTTACAGGGGTATTTTGATCATTTGATTTCATGTAAAATATTTTTTTAATATTCGCCTATTTTTATCAACACATATACAAAATTTCAAGTAATTTGGATTTGTAGAAAAAAAAATTAAAATTCAAACACTATCAGACATCCGTGATCGTTAGATCGGCCTAGATTCAATCTGGGTCATTGGATTCATTTTTTCTTGTGAACCCATTGGCTCACAAAAGCATTTTCCACACACACATATATATAGGTTTGTCTAGAGTTAACAACCCATCAAAATACAAAGGCTAAAGTCAGAAGGGGTTGTGATGGGTGTATTTATCAAAACAATCATTATATATATATATATATATATATATATATCAATCGTAAACTCAAAGGCAGAAAGAATGGCCTGCTGGCGAGCAAATATTTATTTGGAAACAAGATTTTGAACATCTTTTTGCAAAATATTTTTTGCGGCTTTGCAATCAGTTCGAATAAGAAAATGTTGATTAAGAATATCGCTTTGAAATTTGGTGACACACAGGACAATAGCAAGTAATTCCTTTTTAACTGTTGAATAGTTTTGTTGGGTTGGATTCCAGGCCTTAGAGGTATACCTGAGTAATTGTTCATGACCATCCACTTGTTGTTTTAGGATTCTTCCTAAACCCAATTCTGAAGCATCACATTTAATTATTTTGAAAGCAGTGGGGTGAGGAAGAAAAAGGCAAGGGAGAGTTTTGACTTTTTCTTTTGATTACTTGTACAGCAGTGGTATGAATAGTTGTCCATGGTGGAGGATGCTTTTTTAATCTATCATGTAGAGGTTTGGCATCTATGGCAAGATCTTGATAAAAATCAATGATATAATTTAAACATCCTAAGAAGCGTTGAAGTTCTTTTTTATCTAGAATTTGATCAGGAAATTTGTCAACAAATTGGATGGATATATCGATAGGGATAATTGTACCATTGTGTATATTTTGTCCTAAAAATCTAATAGTGGTTTTAAATAAAGTAATCTTTTTAGTAGATACAACTAATCCAGCCTGTTTAACTGCAGATATGAAAGTATTAATATGTTTTACATGCTCATCGATGGATTCTGAGAAGATAAGAATATCATCAATATAAACAATCATAAATTGGTAATATGAGTTGAAAACATTATTCATTATTTTCTGAAATTCTGATGGAGCATTTTTTAATCCGAAAGGCATTACATTCCATTCGTATTGACTAAAGGGAACATTAAATGTTGTTTTATACTTATCTTCCTCTTTAATTTGAATTTGCCAGTATCCTGACTTCATATCAAATTTGGAGAATATACAAGCATTAGCTACTCTATCTAATAAATATTTTTTATTAGAAATTGGATATCTAACCCATTATAGTACTTTATTTAATAGTTTATAATTTATAACAAGTCTAGGAACTCCTCGTTCCTTTTCAACATTTTTATTGACATAGAAAGCTGCACAACTCCATGGTGATAAGCTTGGTCTGATAAGCTTTTTAGTTTGGAGTTCAGCAATTTCTTTTCGACACATTTCAAGTAAAGTTGTATTCATTTGTATTGGTCTTGCTTTAGTAGGTATTTGTCTTTCATCAAATCCTGGTTGGTATGGAAGACTGATGCTATGCTTTTTTCGTTCCCAAAAAGCATTGCGGTGTTCACTACAGATAGACGTTTCTATTTGTTGTTGCAATTGTTGGATTTTTTGTATTATTAATGGAGTTTGTAATTGTTCTTCCACATATTTATATTTGATCTCTTGTTTTCACGTGCAGATAAATTTTTCTTTATTTTGTAATTGACTTTTAACATTATTTATTTCCTTCAATTTTGGTTTATGAATAAATTCAAAGTGTAAAGGGACATTCTGGTAATTGGATGTTATTCCTGTATGGTTTATGAATAATGGGTATAATAATGTGAGGAATGGGACTCCAAGTATAACTGCTTGGCTCAGTCCTTTAACTATGATAAATGGTGTTTGGATACATTGGTGATTGTTACATACAGAAGCATTAGATAATTTATAATTTATAAACAGTCTGCTGCCATCGGCAGTATTTAAGATTTGAGTTGTTTTATCAAAATATTTTGTTGGTACCAATCCTTCATTGATACTATTTAAATCATCTCCAGAATCTATTAAAGCTGATGTTTGAAATTTATAATCTTTTGCAACTATAATTGTTACTTGAACAAACCATTTTTGTATGATAATTTTATCTAAAAGATTAAATGAAGTAGACTGTTCAGGTATCAGAAGTGGTTTAATTTCTGATGTTTCTCTTGGTGGATCAGGACTATATGTGGTGACTAGATTGTTGAATTCCAATTCATCTGTATCAGAATTTTGATTGGATTAAATTTGTAATTCTAGAAGTTTGATTTTATTTTTTAACTGATGTATTTCTTTCTTTACTTCATTTAGCTCATGTTTTAATTCGGAGATGGAAGGTTCTTTTTGCTTAGTGAGATGTTGTTCACTAACCCTTTTTATAATGGAGGCAAAATTATATTCATCTAGTGTTTTACTGATAGGAGGTGTTTTTGCTTTTGTTTTGGCTAAATTTATAAATTGGATAATAACATATCTTTTCTCTTCTGGATCTGTAATTCTTTTTATGAGATCTAAAATCAAATTATCTTCTTGTGTTAAGGTATGAAGATTATGCATGGGGATAGGACATCTTTCTAATTAAAGAAATTTATAAAGCTTTAACTATAGTATTTACGGTTTAGAGAGAGAATGAAGAAGGAAAAGAAGAAAATAGGGCAGGGCTCATAGCTATTAGGGTTTATAGATAGAAGAAGAAAGAAGTTATCTACTTCACAAACCCTAATGGAATAAGTTTTTGAAGAGACCCTAATTGATTTTTAGAGAGACAAAAAGTTGAGGGTTTTTCATTTTCTTAGGGAAACAACAAGCAGAGCCGAAGGATTAAGTTTGGGGAACTAATCCTATATGTACATTTGCTTGCTCGTAAGTTCATCGTTTACACTTTAGTGTTTATTTTTGTTATCACATAATCAAAAACAAAATATTGATTACTTGGTCCAGTAGTCACACTATGTGCTTCTCATTCATCAGTAAAAGACATGTTTTGAGCTCTAATTTGTATCATAAACAGTATTTTCATAAAAACAATTATCACAAATAATCACAGAAATCGGCATGTATTTGATTTTCTTTACACAATGATTTACTTAACAAAATGATTTGCTATAAACAGTATTTCATTTACATGATGATTTTCCATAGTAACAACTGAAATCTGCATCTATTTGTTTAAGTTTTTTACAAAAAGGGGAAAAGAATTCATACCTTCAATCTGCAACAGTAGCTTTGAAGAACACAGTGGGGATAAAAATTTCTATTTTAGATTTTTTTTGAAATAATATATATTTTGTCAAAAGCATGAAAGTAGCAATGGCTGCAATACACAAAATAGAAAAAAAAAAAAAAAAAATATTTCACAAAAAATTATAGGTAAAAAAGATACGGCCTGATTTAAATCGCATTATGAAAAAAAACGCATTTTAAAAGTTTTTATGAAAATTACGCTATTTTTTGCCGACTTTTCAAAAAGTCGCCGTTTAAAATTGTTTCAATAAAAACTCCGATTTTTTTGAAAAAAAACACCGATTAAACAGCGATTTGCTAACTATGGTCTAACGAGCCAAACCCATCATATATTAGTTTTGACGGCTTTTGACCACTCAATTTTGCTTTGGATTAGATTAGACGAGGTACTAGTTGGCAATCTAATTGATGAGACTGGATGGTTTGATCCAGTCTTGATAATAACTAGCGGGTGCAGTTTGTATAGAGTATAGATTCTAAACAATCAAATTAGAGCTTATTTTAAAAAAGTGTCAAGAAATATGGTTTTAATACTGAAAATCTTTGTGATAGCCTTCAAATATATTTTTATCTTTATTTATAAATTTAAAGCTTAAAAAATAGTGTAAATTGAAAACTTGAAAATCTTAAAAATTGACAGTCAAAAAATACATTGCAAAATACACTATTTACACAACTTGAAATCTATTTTTTTCTCATGTCCATGCATCTTGATGTCGAGATGATCAATTTAAGGATATTTGGACATCAAAACAACCTCTTCTAATAAAATTTTAAAGCTAGGCTTTTATTTGATTGTTTAGAGCCTCGGCTCTATATAAACTTTTCCCATAACTATAATGACGACTATAAGGCCGTTTACCTTCGACAAGACTACATAGTTCCAATCACTCTTAGCCGTCTTATAAGAAAAGTCATGGTTAAATTTTTTTAAAATAAATAAAAAATGAAACGGGTGTTTCACAAAATCAAGTTTTGTTTTTAATTTTTAATTTTTTTTCACGTCCAAGAGCTAAGAGGAACGTGACTTTCTCG